TCCAAACTTCTTCCATTTAAGAATGATGGAGGCCACTGTGTTCTTGGGGACCTTCAACGCTGCAGAAATGTTTTGGTACCCTTCGCCAGATCTGTGTCTCAACACAATCCTGTGTAAATTTGCAAACATTTCTAAAAACCTGTTTTTGCTTTGTCATTATGGGGTATTGTGTGTAGATTGATGAGGACATTTTTTAATTTAATAAATTGTAGAATAAGGCTGTCATGTAACAATATGTGGAAAAAGGGGTCTGAATACTTTCAGAATGCACTGTACATAAAACCTTACATATGCTTAAAAGCAAGGGAACGGTACAATACATAATCATGGAATATCCCAGTCCATCTCGAATGCCAAGTATAAGTGCAAGTACAATACATTTGAATTACAAAACGGTATTGTCTACACACTGTAGAAATGTCTCTTCAAATATAAAAAACTGATATTAAAACATCATCAGGCGCACCTCATCATCAAGATTATTCAAATATACACGACTGGAGTAATGCACTCCTCATTTCTCTAAAAGTATGTGCACAAATTTGTTTACATCCCTGTTAGTTTGTTTACATTGTGTTATGTGACATTTTGTCACATAACACAATGCCACAGATATCGTGCAATTGGCATGCTGACTGCAGGAATATCCACAAGAGCTGTTGCCAGAGAATTGAATGCTAATTTCTTAACCATAAGCCACCTCCAACGTCGTTGTAGAATTTGGCAATACATCCAACTGGCCTCACAACCGCAGACCACGGGTATGGTGTTGTGTGGACGAGTGGTTTGCAACTCTGTAGAACGTTGTGAACAGAGTGCCCCATGGTGGCGGTGGAGTTATGGTATGGGCAGGCATAACCTACAGACAACGAACAGAATTGTATTTTTGCGATGGCAATTTGAATGCACAGAAATACCGTGATGAGATACAATGGCGTCGGAGGGGATAGCTGCCGTTTTATGGACTCTTAACCAACCGTGCTATTTTGTGTGGTTTTTTTGCATTGTTTGTAACTTATTTTGTACATAATGTTGCTGCTACAGTCTCTTATGACCGAAAGAAGCTTCTGGACATCAGAACAGCGATTGCTCACCTTGAACTGGACGACTCATTTTTATTTAATGAGTCGGACGAGAGGGATTTGCTCTAGACACACGACAGGGCCCTCATCCCCGTCATTCGCATTAGAAAGAAAAGGAGATATCGCGGAAGGAGATCGGGGTGCCTGGTAAGGAGCCGGCGACGAGTGGCTAATCTGCCTTTGACATCGATACTATTGGCCAATTTACAATCGCTTGATAATAAAGTGGATGAACTACAAGCAAGTATATCCTACGGGACATTAAAAACTGTAAGATCTTATGTTTCACCGAGTCGTGGCTGAACGAAGACATGAATAACATACAGCTGGCAGGATAGAACAGCAGCCTCTTGTAAGTCAAGAGGTGGCGGTCTATGTATATTTGTAAACAACAGCTGGTGCACGATATCTAAGGAAGTATCGCGGTTTTGCTCGCCTTAGGTAGAGTATCTCATGATAAGCTGTAGACCACACTTTTCATCTATATTCTTTGTAGCTGTCTGTTATGACAAGTTTCTCTGGTATCGAGTACGTCAGGATGTAAGAGAATATGGGACACTGATGGAGAGTTGATTCAGTCATTATCTACTGGTTACAGAACTGGATTCGTGTGACAGGCGGTACGGGCGTAGCCCCTTGTCATCCGAATGACTTCCATAGAAAATCTCTCAGTTTATATAATGCTCTCCGAGCTACTTCTGTCCATCATCTGCCAACCATCATTGAGTGTCACTCATCTACTACAGTAGTATCACCCTACATGGTATTGTGTGGGACCCTAGCCAGGCCATTCCATCACGTTCACCTTCTAAGATTAGCCCGTGGCCCCCAATCTATCTTGGCACACCGACCCTCTGTCACTCACCAGTGACCTCTATAACACATGGCGTGTCCTTGTCCTCTCTCCCACATGCAGCTCAGGAGTTTACAAACATTAATCATCTTGTATCATATCAATTCACCCTTTTCATTATTTTGATGTTGTAAGTGAAATGCCACAGGTATAACATGACTTGAACCAAACAAACAATACATACAAATTAATTCCTAACCTCCTGACATCATTCCAGAAAATACATTGATTCATGACAATTTGTAAGTTACATGTAGACTACAATATCGACTGAGGTAGTCTTGTTTCCACATTTTCAATCGTGTCTTTCTCTACTATATTTTCCATAGCTTTAGTTAATTTCCCTCACATTAACTTACATGTTTCAAACAGTAAGATTCAGAAGTTTCAATTTGAAATACATCATATAAGTTTATCCTAAGACATTACCATAATGTATTGCTGTTTTAGCCATAATATCTATAGAAGACAGTTATCTCCATTGTACAAGCAATAACCTTCATGCTGAAAATAGTTAGTTATTAATATATACTAATGATTTACTTAAATCACTCAGTCATCTTATAAATTATAACCAAAACCAAATTACTTAACACAACCAAATTTAGAATGACAATTCTTAGTGATTCACATTGGTCCTATCACTCAAAATTAAAACCCTCAACTTCATCACCCATTACAACTGTCAGAATGTACAATTCTATTAACATACAGAATAAATATCCATAATTCTATTATGACCTTCCTCATTCTGGATATAACTACAGTTCATTATCTCAACGCATTCTTAATACTATTAATTTAGCAGTGTATATACAGTGAGGGAAAAAAGTATTTGATCCCCTGCTGATTTTGTACGTTTGCCCACTGACAAAGACATGATCAGTCTATAATTTTAATGGTAGGTTTATTTGAACAGTGAGAGACAGAATAACAAAAAAAAAAAAAAAAAAATTTGATTTGCTTTTTAATGAGGGAAATAAGTATTTGACCCCTCTGCAAAACATGAATTAGTACTTGGTGGCAAAACCCTTGTTGGCAATCACAGAGGTCAGATGTTTCTTGTAGTTGGCCACCAGGTTTGCACACATCTCAGGAGGGATTTTGTTCCACTCCTCTTTGCAGATCTTGTCCAAGTGATTAAGGTTTCGAGGCTGACGTTTGGCAACTCGAACCATCAGCTCCCTTCACAGATTTTCTATGGGATTAAGGTCTGGAGACTGGCTAGGCCACTCCAGGACCTTAATGTGCTTCTTCTTGAGCCACTCCTTTGTTGCCTTGGCCGTGTTTTTTGGGTCATTGTCATGCTGGAATACCCATCCACAACCCATTTTCAATGCCCTGGCTGAGTGAAGGAGGTTCTCACCCAAGATTTGACGGTACATGGCCCCGTCCACCCTTACCAGAAAAACACCCCCAAAGCATAATGTTTCCACCTCCATGTTTGACGGTGGGGATGGTGTTCTTGGGGTCATAGGCAGCATTCCTCCTCCTCCAAACACGGCGAGTTGAGTTGATGCCAAAGAGCTCCATTTTGGTCTCATCTGACCACAACACATTCACCCAGTTCTCCTCTGAATCATTCAGATGTTCAATGGCAAACTTCAGACGGGCCTGTATATGTGCTATATCTTGAGCAAGGGTCCTTGCGGGCGCTGCAGGATTTCAGTCCTTCACGGCGTAGTGTGTTACCAATTGTTTTGTTGGTGACTATGGTCCCAGCTGCCTTGAGATCATTGACAAGATCCTCCCGTGTAGTTCTGGGCTGATTCCTCACCGTTCTCATGATCATTGCAACTCCACGAGGTGAGATCTTGCATGGAGCCCCAGGCCGAGGGAGATTGACAGTTATTTTGTGTTTCTTCCATTTGCGAATAATCACAACCAACTGTTGTCACCTTCTCACCAAGCTGCTTGGCAATGGTCTTGTAGCCCATTCCAGCCTTGTGTAGGTCTACAATCTTGTCCCTGACATCCTTGGAGAGCTCTTTGGTCTTGGCCATGGTGGAGAGTTTGGAATCTGATTGATTGATTGCTTCTGTGGACAGGTGTCTTTTATACAGGTAAGAGCTGAGATTAGGAGCACTCCCTTTAAGAGTGTGCGCCTAATCTCAGCTCATTACCTGTATAAAAGACACGTGGGAGCCAGAAATCTTTCTGATTGAGAGGGGGTCAAATACTTATTTCCCTCATTAAAATGCAAATCAATTTATAACATTTTTGACATGCGTTTTTCTTGATTTTGTTGTTGTTATCCTGTCTCTCACTGTTCAAATAAACCTACCATTACAATTATAGACTGATCATTTCTTTGTCAGTGGGCAAACGTACAAAATCAGCAGGGGATCAAATACTTTTTTCCCTCACTGTAGCCTCGCTATTGTTATTTTTACTGCTGCTCTTTAATTATTTGTCACTTTTATTTTGTATTATTTTATATTGTATAATTTTTTTAATTTTTTTGTGGTATTCTTTCTTAAAACTGCATTGTCGGTTAAGGGCTTGTAAGTAAGCATTTCACTGTAAGGTCTACACCTGTTGTATTCGGCACATGTGACTAATAACATTTGATTTGATTTGAGATCCTGAGGCCCATTGTGAGGTCCATTTTTTTTTTTTTTTTTTCCAAGGTATATCTGACCAACAGATGTATATCTGTATTCCCAGTCATGTGAAATGCATAGACTAGGGCCTAATGCATGTATTTAAATTGACTGATTTCCTTATATGAACTGTAACTCAGTAATATCTTTGAAATTGTTGCAAGTTGCATTTATATTTTTGTTCAGTATACAATGTCAGTTGTCCTTATTATTATTTATTGTACTACTGTTGTTTTATCTGTCTGAAAAAAAGAAGAGAAAAATAAGATTTCAAATAATAAGTGTACAAAAAAGACAAGAGTGTGCAAAATGAAGTTTCAAGACCTTCGGTTCAATCATGTCACATTCAGTCATATACAGTACATCATTGGTCCAAGACCATCATCGTCACAAGCACCTCATCAACACAATTTCAGTCATGTTAATTTAATTCAAAACGAAATAAAGCTCTTGGTCCGTCCCTCACCAGAACACGTATATTCCATTGACCTCCAAGTTAGGGTAGCTCTGTGGGCCTAGGTCTGTTAGATGAGCAACCGGGTCAATATGAGTGGATTCTTCTTCAGCTTCTCCCTCTTCCCTCTCTACTTCTTCTTCCTCTTCCTCCTCACTGTTCGCTGTGCTGACAATCTCTATGTCAACTGTCTCACATTCCACACTGGGCTCTGTGAAGGTACTGCGCCACTACCAACAGGGAAATAAAAAGGGAAGAGGTACATCACAAAACACACAGCATGTACAGTGGGGAAAAAAAGTATTTAGTCAGCCACCAATTGTGCAAGTTCTCCCACTTAAAAAGATGAGAGAGGCCTGTAATTTTCATCATAGGTACACATCAACTATGACAGACAAATTGAGAAAAAAAATTCCAGAAAATCCCATTGTAGGATTTTTAATGAATTTATTTGCAAATTATGGTGGAAAATAAGTATTTGGTCACCTACAAACAAGCAAGATTTCTGGCTCTCACAGACCTGTAACTTCTTCTTTAAGAGGCTCCTCTGTCCTCCACTCGTTACCTGTATTAATGGCACCTGTTTGAACTTGTTATCAGTATAAAAGACACCTGTCCACAACCTCAAACAGTCACACTCCAAACTCCACAATGGCCAAGACCAAAGAGCTGTCAAAGGACACCAAAAACAAAATTGTAGACCTGCACCAGGCTGGGAAGACTGAATCTGCAATAGGTAAGCAGCTTGGTTTGAAGAAATCAACTGTGGGAGCAATTATTAGGAAATGGAAGACATACAAGACCACTGATAATCTCCCTCGATCTGGGGCTCCACGCAAGATCTCACCCCGTGGGGTCAAAATGATCACAAGAACGGTGAGCAAAAATCCCAGAACCACACGGGGGGACCTAGTGAATGACCTGCAGAGAGCTGGGACCAAAGTAACAAAGCCTACCATCAGTAACACACTACGCCGCCAGGGACTCAAATCCTGCAGTGCGAGACGTGTCCCCCTGCTTAAGCCAGTACATGTCCAGGCCCGTCTGAAGTGCATTTGGATGATCCAGAAGAGGATTGGGAGAATGTCATACGGTCAGATGAAACCAAAATATAACTTTTTGGTAAAAACTCAACTCGTCATGTTTGGAGGACAAAGAATGCTGAGTTGCATCCAAAGAACACCATACCTACTGTGAAGCATGGGGTTGGAAACATCATGCTTTGGGGCTGTTTTTCTGCAAAGGGACCAGGACGACTAATCCGTGTAAAGGAAAGAATGAATGGGGCCATGTATCGTGAGATTTTGAGTGAAATCCTCCTTCCATCAGCAAGGGCATTGAAGATGAAATGTGGCTGGGTCTTTCAGCATGACAATGATCCCAAACACACCGCCCGGGCAACGAAGGAGTGGCTTCGTAAGAAGCATTTCAAGGTCCTGGAGTGGCCTAGCCAGTCTCCAGATCTCAACCCCATAGAAAATCTTTGGAGGGAGTTGAAAGTCTGTGTTGCCCAGCGACAGCCCCAAAACATCACTGCTCTAGAGGAGATCTGCATGGAGGAATGGGCCAAAATACCAGCAACAGTGTGTGAAAACCTTGTGAAGACTTACAGAAAACGTTTGACCTGTGTCATTGCCAACAAAGGGTATATAACAAAGTATTGAGAAACTTTTGTTATTGACCAAATACTTATTTTCCACCATCATATGCCAATAAATTCATAAAAAATCCTACAATGTGATTTTCTGGATATTTTTTTCTCATTTTGTCTGTCATAGTTGACGTGTACCTATGATGAAAATTACAGGCCTCTCTCATCTTTTTAAGTGGGAGAACTTGCACAATTGGTGGCTGACTAAATACTTTTTTTCCCCACTGTATGATATGGATGTTGATTCTTAATTGATGTACTGTAGGTCACTACAACTCTTGTGTGCAACTCTGTAGAACTTGAAAACTCCATATGAATGGTGTTGAATTCATGTATTTTGAAAAATACCTTGTTCATACAGGTTTTATGCCTGCTTTATGTATAGCCCTCAAAGTAAAGCTAAAGTAAGTGTTACCAAACTGTATTATCAACTATGTATATAATTATCAGTCTCTTACCTGAGACTGGTCCATACTGAAGAAAGTTTCACAGGTGTGTTTGGGGTCTGGGATGTGGGGTAGGAAGAGTCTTCTGACCCTGTTGGCAAACAATTATTGCATTATGATTACATGTATGACCTGCTCAGGATCTACACAATTCCAAATTGCTGTTAAATTGTTAGCATAGAATTGCCAAATAGAATAGAATATGTTTTTTATTCTTGACCACTTGCCTTTTTTGTGAGCAAGTCACTATCAGCAGGAAACAGATCAACAAAGGTAAAATGGTCGCAACATAAACAATGGTATTTATCTCTGTGGCACAGGAACCTGGTGACAGAAAGTTTGAGTATTTGAAAAAGTCATTTTAGCCTCATTAATCAACTATACTACACACAAATGCTGTTCCCTTATTTTGTTAATGGGCTAAACAATTGACCTACTGTATAGTTAATTGTGAGACAGAGTGAGAAATAAAAGGAAAGAGAGGGGGAGAAACAAAGGGACATAGAAAGCCAAAGAGAGCTCTACCTGTCTCGGTCTCATTTCTCCAGTATCTCGTTGGTGTCCATGCACTCCAAGCGTTCAGGTCACCACGCAGACAGTCATATCTCATCCGTATCCTGAAGTAATATCTCCTCTTCCTGTCTGACTTGTCCACCTGGTAGGATAATTCCTTCAGTACAACATCCTGTTGAGAATCAAACACAGCAATATACAGTGCACTTGGAAAGTATTCAGACCCCTTGACTTTTTCCACATTTTGTTACGTTACAGCCATGTATTTGGGGAGTTTACTTATGTAAATAAGGTATTTCTGTTTCATTTTTTATCCATTTGGAACAATTTCTGAAAACCTGTTTTTCGCATTGTCATTATGGGGTATTGTGTGTAGATTGATACACATTTTTTTTTTTTATCCATTTTAAAATAAGGCTGTAACGTAACCAAATCTGGAAAAAGTCAAGGGGTCTGAATACTTTCCGAATGCACTGTAAATTATATCTAGTAACTGTTAGTATCTATAGAATATGTTTCTACATCTTTGCCAAGACATCTGAGCCTCTATATTGGATTTTTCTAAACCCTTTGGCAGTGTGAGGGTATCTATCTTTCTGCTCAAAACCTATGCACCTGTGACTGACCGTTTATTAGGGACTGAGAAAAAGGAGCAGACCATCTGTTTCTATGGCAGCAACCATTTTAATTTCATTAGCTATTGAGCCCTGTGTAGCTCAGTTGGTAGAGCATGGCATTTGCAACGCCAGGGTTGTGGGTTCGATTCCCACGGGGGGGCAGTATGAAAATGTATGCACTCACTAACTGTAAGTCGCTCTTGATAAGAGCGTCTACTAAATGACTAAAATGTAAAATGTCTATTATCCTACTATAGCTAACACGCGTCCTCAAATAGTTTCACTTAGAAGAGCTTTGAAAGTCCTGTACCTGCCAGTCCGTGTCACAGTGGTTCCTGTATTGTAGTGTGCTCTCATAGCAGTGGCGGCCTACTTCACGGTTAGGGTTCCTCCACGACACACAGACAACATCAGAGCAGTCAGATAGGTCCAAACCAATTTTGTCTGGGTTTATAGCTGGAAAAATAATGTTTTTTGTCAGTCACTTTTGTGGTTAAATCAAGGTTAAGGTTAATAGCATTAATACCCTGTGAGTTTGGATGAGGCCTCAACAGTCCGGTGTTATGGATAGGATCCTCAAGAAATGAAATATTCATTTAGGATATGACAAAATATTAATGCATTATTATGTCATTATGGTGTGGTTTGGCTATGCATTGTAAGACTTGACATAAGAATTTGTGACCCCCTATGTCTAATTGTCATCTGGGAATGATCCTGATAAATGGCAGCAATTTTTGATCTGTCAAAAATGTCCTTCATAGAGAGACATAACATATATTATAATATATTATAAAAGCCTACCCAATTGTTGTTATTAAATAATTGCTTACAAAAGAGGAAACAAAGCCATATACAGTGCCTTCGGAAAGTATTCAGACCCCTTGACTTTTTCCACATTTTGTTAAATTACAGCCTTATTCTAACATTGATTAAATTGTTTTTTCCCCCTCATCAATCTACACACAATACACCATAATGACAAAGCAAAAACAGGTTTATATAAATTGTTGCTAATTTATCAAAAAAAATTAATAATAATGTACCTTAGCCAAATACATTTAAACTCAGTTGCTCACAATTCCTGACATTTAATCCTAGTAAAAATTGTCTTAGGTCAGTTAGGATCACCACTTTATTTTAAGAATTTGAAATGTCAGAATAATAGTAGTGAGAATGATTTATTTCAGCTTTTATTTATTTCATCACATTCCCAGTGGGTCAGAAGTTTACATACACTCAATTAGTATTTGGTAGCATTGCCTATAAATTGTTTAACTTGGGTCAAACGTTTTGAGTAGCCTTCCACAAGCTTCCCACAATAAGTTGGGTGAATTTTGGCCCATTCCTCCTGACAGAGCTGGTGTAACTGAGTCAGGTTTGTAGGCCTCCTTGCTCGCACACGCTTTTTCACTTCTGCCCACACATTTTCTATAGGATTGAGGTCAGGGCTTTGTGATGGCCACTCCAATACCTTGACTTTGTTGACCTTAAGCCATTTTGCAAGTATGCTTGGGGTCATTGTCCATTTGGAAGACCCATTTGCAACCAAGCTTTAACTTCCTGACTGATGTCTTGAGATGTTGCTTCAATATATCCACATAATTTTCCTTCCTCATTATGCCATCTATTTTGTGTAGTGCACCAGTCCCTCCTGCAGCAAAACACCCCAACAGCATGATGCTGCCACCCCCGTGCTTCACAGTTGGGATGGTGTTCTTCGGCTTGCAAGCACCCCCTTTTTCCTCCAAACATAACGATGGTCATTATGGCCAAACAGTTCTATTGTTGTTTAATCAGACCAGAGGACATTTCTCCAAAAAGTATGATCTTTGTCCCCATGTGCAGTTGCAAACCATAGTCTGGCATTTTTATGGCGGTTTTGGAGCAGTGGCTTCTTCCTTGCTGAGCGGCCTTTCAGGTTATGTCGATATAGGACTCGTTTTGAGATATAGGACTCGGATATCCCTCTAGTGGTGCGGGGGCTGTGCTTTGGCGGAGTGGGTGGGGTTATATCCTTCCTGTTTGGCCCTGTCCGGGGGTTTCTTCGGATGGGGCCACAGTGTCTCCGGACCGCTCCTGTCTCAGCCTCCAGTATTTATGCTGCAGTAGTTTATGTGTCGGGGGGCTGGGGTTAGTTGGTTATACCTGGAGTACTTCTCCTGTCTTATCCAGTGTCCTGTGTGAATTTAAGTATGCTCTCTCTAATTCTCTCGTTCTCTCTTTCTCTCTGAGAACCTGAGCCCTAGGACCATACGTCAGGACTACCGGGCATGATGACACCTTGCTGTCCCCAGTCCGCCTGGCCTTGCTGCTATTCCAGTTTCAACTGTTCTGCCTGCGGCTACGAAACCCCTACCTGTCCCAGACCTGCTGTTTTCAACTCTTAATGATCGGCTATGAAAAGCCAACTGAGAGACCTGAGCCCTAGGACCATACGTCGGGACTACCGGCCGTGGTGACTCCTTGCTGTCCCCAGTCCGCCTGGCCTTGCTGCTATTCCAGTTTAAACTGTTCTGCCTGCGGTTATGGAACCCCTACCTGTCCCAGACCTGCTGTTTTCAACTCTTAATGATCGGCTATGAAAAGCCAACTGAGATTTATTCCTGATTATTATTTGACCATGCTTGTCACTTATGAACATTTTTGAACATCTTGGCATGGTTCTGTTATAATCTCCACCCGGCACAGCCAGAAGAGGACTGGCCACCCCTCATAGCCTGGTTCCTCTCTAGGTTTCTTCCTAGGTTTTGCCTTTCTAGGGAGTTTTTCCTAGCCACCGTGCTTCTACACCTGCATTACTAGCTGTTTGGGGTTTTAGGCTGGGTTTCTGTACAGCACTTCGAGATATTAGCTGATGTAAGAAGGGCTATATAAAATAAAATTGATTGATTGATTGATTGATGGTTTTACTGTGGATATAGATACTTTTGTACCTGTTTCCTCCAGCATCTTCACAAGGTCCTGTGCTGTTGTTCTGGGATTGATTTGCACTTTTCTCACCAAAGTACGTTCATCTCTAGGAGACAGAACGCTTCTCCTTCCTGAGCGGTATGATGGCTGCGTGGTCCCATGGTGTTTATACTTGCGTACAAGTGTTTGTGCAGATGAATGTGGTACCTTCAGGAATTTGGAAATTGCTCCCAAGGATGAACCAGACTTTTGGAGGTCTATAATTTTTTTTCTGAGGTCTTGGCTCATTTCTTTTGATTTTCCCATGATGTCAAGCAAAGAGGCACTACGTTTGAAGGTAGGCCTTGAAATACATCCACAGGTACACCTCCAATTGACTCAAATGATGTCAATTAGCCTATCAGAAGCTTCTAAAGCCATGACATAATTTTCTGGAATTTTCCAAGCTGTTTAAAGGCACAGTCAACTTAGTGTATGTAAACGTCTGACCCACTGCAATTGTGATACAGTGAATTATAAGTGAAATAATCTGTCTGTAAACAATTGTTGGAAAAATTACTTGTGTCATGCACAAAGTAGATGTCCTAACCGACTTGCCAAAACTATAGTTTGTTAACAAGAAATTTGTGGCGTGGTTGAAAAACGAGTTCTAATGACTCCAACCTAAGTGTATGTAAACTTCCGACTTCAACTGTATGTGAGATACATACACACACACACACTCACTCACTCATACTCACACACACACACACACACACACACACACACACACACACACACACACACACACACACACACACACACACACACACACACACTCATACACACTCCCCACCCTTCCCCTCCAAAACAACCACAAGCTCAGATGTTCAACAGTTGTTCCATCCCCGAGCCCAACTCAAGAGAAGACTTGATGTGTGAATGCATATACTGTTGTAGCTGTTTGAGAAGGCATGCAAAATTGAGAAAGAATGGGGAGATTTGATTAACCAATGTCAAGTCCTAGCTGATGGAGGTCAGATACACCCCTAATTACAAATAATTTGTAGACTGCAAATTGACCGCAAGAAGCCCAAACAGATATAATATTTGACTAAAAACATAATAATTTCAAACTTTGCTTACATTTGTATTCAATCACGTGTCTCTCTATTATGTGTCGGAATACTTGGGAACAGATTTCCTAAATTAAAATCAATTGGAGCTGATTTCCTGCTGTTTTACAGTCTTTTATGTCCAACAAGGAAAATTCTTAAACTTGGGGGGGCAAATAAAATCACCCGTGGGCCAAACTTCTAGCCTTGATATACACTGACTGTACAAAACGTTATGAATTCTCTTTCCATGACATAGACATAGACTGACCAGGTGAATCCAGATGAAAGCTATGATCCCTTATTGATGTCACCTGTTAAATCCACTTCAAATCAGTGTAGATGAAGGGGAGAAGACAGGTTAAAGAAGGATCTTTAAGCCTTGAGACAATTGAGACATGGATTTTGTATGTGTGCCATTCAGAGGGTGCATGGGCAAGACAAAATATTTAAGTGCCTTTGAACGGGGTATGGTAGTAGGTGCCAGGTACTGCTGGGTTTTTCACACTCAACAGTATCCCGTGTTTATCAAGAATGGTCCACCACCAAAAGGACATCCAGCCATCGGCAGGCCAGTGGTCAAAAACGGGTCATTGATGAAAGGAGGCTGACACATTGTGCAGAGCAACTGACAGGCTATAGTTAGTCAACTGACAGTCCAGTACAAGATTGGTGCCCAAAGACCCATAAAATAATGCACAACTCATCGTACCTTGACACGAATGGGGTATGGCACCCGACGACCTTACAGAGTTCCACTTCTTTCAGCAAAAAACAAGAAACTGCGGTTGCAGTGGGCTAACGAATGAAAACACTGGACACTGGAGAATTGGAAAAACATTGCCAAGTCTGATGAATCCTGGTTCCTGCTGTTTCACGCTGATGTGAGGACTAGAGTATGGAGAAAACCACGAGTAGATGCATCCATCATGCCGCGTGTCAACATTGGTGGTGGTGGTGGTGGTGATGGTGTGATGGTGTGGGGTGTGTTTTCATGGCACACATTGGGCCCTTGATAAAACTGGAGCAATGTTTGAATGCCACAGGATATTTGAACATCATTGCCAATCAGGTGCATCCCTTCATGGCAGCAGTGTATCCATCTGCAAATTGATTTTTTTCAGCAGGATAATGCCCCATGCCAAAAGGCTAGGATTGTCCAGGAATAGTTCCACTAACATGACAGTGAATTCAGCTTACTACAGTGGCCTGGTGTAATTGAGCATCTGTGGGATGAGATGTCACGAGCTATTCGGAGTAGAGATCCACTACCAGCCAATTTGACATAACTGTGGGAAGCATTGAAGTCAACATGGGCCAGCATCCCTGTGGAACGCTTTCGACACCTTGTAGAGTCCATGCCCTGACGAATTGAGGCTGTTCTGAGAACAAAAGGGGGTGCAACTCAATATTAGGAAGGTGTTCCTAATGTTTTGGACACTCAGTGTACGTTTCTAACTGGGCTCTTAGGCAAAATTTCACTGCCACTCATAATTGTGGGTTCTGTGCGATATTTTCCCTAGTTCGGACCCGTTTCAAAGCCCTTTAGTCCTGGGTAATAAATACCTTCTTCCTTTAGATAGCAGTACTTTTCAAAAGAGAACGAACCAATGAATGCTTTTTAAGTTATTCCCACTGGGCAAAAACTGGTTGAATCAACGTTGCTTCCATGTCATTTCAACAAAAATATGAAATGTGATGACGTTGAATCAAAGTGGAAAACTGATTGGATTTGCAAAAAGTCATCAACGTAAGATCATTTTGTATTTTTTTCACCCAACTTTTAACCTAAATCCAATGACATGGTGACATTTTTTGTTGATTTCATATTGAATTAACGTTAGTTGACAACTCAACCAAATGTACACTACAAGTCAAAAGTTTGGACACACTTACTTATTCAAGGGTTTTTCTTAATTTTTTTAATGTTTTACATTGTAGAATAATAGTGAAAACATAAAAACTATGAAATAACACATATGGAATCATGTAATAACCAAAAAAGGGCTAAACAAATCAAAATATATTTAATATTTGAGATTCTTTAAATAGCCACCATTTGCCTTGATGACAGCTTTGCACAGTCTTGGCATGCTCTCAACGAGCTTCACCTGGAATTCTTTTCCAACAGTCTTGAAGGAGTTCTCACATATGCTGAGCACTGGTTGGCTGCTTTTCCTTCACTCTGCGGTCCGACTCGTCCCAAACCATCTCATTTGGGTTGAGGTCGGGGGATGGTGGAGGCCAGGTCATCTGATGCAGCACTCCATCACTCTCCTTCTTGGTAAAATAGCCCTTACACAGCCTGAAGGTGTGTTGGGTCATTGTCCTGTAGAAAAACAAATGATAGTCCCACTACGCCCAAACCAGATGGGATGGCATATCGCTGCAGAATGCTGTGGTATCCATGCTGGTTAAGTGTGCCTTGAATTCTAAATAAATCACAGACAGTGTCACTAGCAAAGCACCCCCACACCATAACACCTCCTCCTCCAAGCTTTACAGGGGGAACTACATATGCAGAGATAATCCATTCACCCACACCTCGTCTCACAAAGACACAGCGGTCGGAACCAAAAATCTCCAAATTGGACTCCAGACCAAAGGACACATTTCCACCGGTCTAATATCCATTGCTCGTGTTTCTTGGCCCAAGCAGGTCTCTTCTTATTATTGGTGTCCTTTAGTAGTGTTTTTTTGCGGCAATTCGACCATAAAGGCCTGATTCACACAGTCCCCTCTGAACATTTGATGTTGAGATTTGTCTGTTGCTTGAGCTCTGTAAAGCTTTTATTTGGACTGCAATTTCTGAGGCTGGTAACTCTAATGAACTTATCCTCTGCAGCAGAGGTATCTCTGGGTCTTCCATTCCTATGGCGGACCTCATGAGAGCCAGTTTCAACATAGCGCTTGTTGGTTTTTCTGCTGCACTTGAAGAAACGTTCAAAGTTCTTGAAATGTTCCGTATTGACGGACCTTCATGTCTTAAAATATTGATGGACTGTCATTTCTCTTTGCATATTTGAGCTGTTCTTGCCATAATATGGACTTGGTCTTTTACCAAATAGGGCTATCTTCTGTATACCCCCCCCCCCCCCCCCCCCCCCCCCCCCCCCCCCCCCCCACCTTGCCACAACACAACTGATTGGCTCAAACGCATTAAGAAGGAAATATATTCCACAAACTTTTAAGAAGGCACACCTGTTAATTGAAATGCATTCCAGGTGACTACCTCATGAAGCTGGTTGAGAGAATGCCAAGAGTGTGCAAAGCTGTCATCAAGGCAAATGGTGGCTATTTGAAGAATCTCAAATATAAAATATATTTTGATTTGTTTAACACTTTTTTGACTTCTACAGATTCCATATGTGTTATTTCATAGTTTTGATGTCTTCACTATTACTCTACATTGTAAAACATTTTAAAAAATAAAGAAAAACCCTTGAAAAGTAGGTGTGTCCAAACTTTTGACTGGTACTGTATATCAAAACTAGACATTGAAATGATGTCTGTGCCCAGTGGGTTGTCACTTTGTAATCCTGAACCTTTAATAAATAACCCTTTTCATTGTCCTTACCTGTCTCTGTGGTTGTGTTTGCCATGGGATTCTAGAACTCTGCTTTTGACATACATTTCCGATAAGTGCAAATATTATTTGTTTTCTTTCAAATACTTTGAGTGTGTTGAGCCTTGCACTTTTGGGACTATTACATTGGTTCCATTGCGCCAGGCAAGCTCAATCAAGCACAGCCGAGATACAGTATTTGAAAGAAAATGTATACTATTTGAGCCCAGGTATGCAATCCGTGATCATGAACGAGAGGAGAGGGCAAAAGGAACTCCTAAAGAGTATTGGAAAACAGACTTATGTATTTTGTTTGGAGATGGTTTGCTGTGGCAACCTGACATATTTTGCAGAGCACAGGGGTGCAGATCACTATCAATGTATGTATAGACATGAGAATATGATTATCGAATATCCCGATTATCAGTATGTATAGTGTCTCTATCAGTGAACACATGACTGACTCATTGTTGAATTGTTGTTTTATACAGTATAACATCCACACACGCACACACTGTCTGGGATATAAACTCTGCTACAACCCTACAACTCCACTATAGGCCACAGTCGACCAATTTCATTTTGGGTTCACTACTGTGCACCAAATTCCTAAAGACCATAGCTGATTCTTACCATGGCACAGTATAGAGTGGCACCAATGTGTGAATATTTACATAATAGAATGGTAATTATGAATGGTAACCTGATAATTTACAGTAAAGCCCCTCTTACCTTCTCTAATGGGCTTTGGATGATCTAATGGTATTCTTCTTTCTCTGGTCTTCTTTGGATGGTCTCTCCTGGCTTTGGAGCAGAGCAGCAGCATAGACAAGAGCCAAGCAAAGACAGCACTGGTACACATGGCCTAAAACATCTCCCTACACATACACAACACTCCACACACACACCTGCCCCCCTTACTCTGCAGATACACACTCCTGACCCTTCTTTATGCAGGTGAACGCACCTGCCCTCTACTCCTAGACACACTCTCTGTATCCTAATGGTTAGATTCACAAACACACACTCTCATAATCTGAGCTACTCTCACTAGCCACCACAGAAGGACACAGTCGCAGCTACTGAAGTCAACCACATCAAAACACCTCCACCTAACTCAGAGGTGGCTCATCTTGTGACGTGTGATGCCTCACCAGTCAAGTGTCATCTTTCCGCTTTCCTCGTGCCTCCCACTGCCTTCCTGCAGTACCCATGATGCCACAGTGTATTCCTTCTCTTCTGCCTATAAAAGGTCATCCACACACACACAGGGGGCTCCCCAGATACTACAAGCACACCTTGTTTCCCCCATCAAAGGCTAGTAGTAGGGGCAAAACGTGTTAGAGGTAAACAAAGGCACAATAACCTTGCAGTGATTCGACGTGTGCCGAGGCTCTCTTCTTCACTCACAAATACCAGTATTAGGGGCAAAATGTCCCCTCAAAATGATGGGTCAATGGGATAGGACACAAACTATTTTGATTTTATATTGAAGCTCCCCTAACTTCTGCTCTCAAGATTTCCAATCACATAACTGAGTGGCGAAGGTGTAGATACTGTCTGAGTTTGGTGTACAGAATATTACAATACATGTATCTGCTCACAGTAATGTGATTCTTGGGTCGTCTTGCGTAAATTCACCTCAATATGAATTTTCTTGACAAAAATGTATGCTTGTATTCTTGTCTCGTATGAGACATTGTGCGTGTGTGTGTGTGTGTGTGTGTGTGTGTCGTGACTTGACTTACTTTAATGTATGACTGTTATTTATCGAATCACCTAACTATGTTCAATTGTCACTCGATTAAATGAATCATGTAACAATTAATTCATTAGGAATTTGGAGCACCACGGAAGAAGTTGTTTAACGAGTTACCATCTTCCGAAATTAAACTTTTAGAAGATATATGTTATATATATCGATAACAGTCACTTATTAAATAATTACCTCTAATCAGTCTCATTCTGAACGTCGCATAATCCTTGAACCTGCAAGAACCCTAACCTTATTGATGAATCAGCAATACACAAATTGGCTTAATTATTTATTTACTAACTAACTAAATAATAACACAATACAAACACACAGGTTATTGGTTACTAACGTAATACAATGAAAACAGGTCCCTAGTGGACTGGACTAACAATCGCATGACTGCTTGGGTTAAGGAGGGTCAGAGTGGAAGGGAGAGACAGAGATTCAAACTATCGTGGTTACTTTGGAGACTATGCTCACAGTAATCATAATACTTATGCACCCTAATATCGCTCATTCGGATTAGAAATGCAACATGTATTTACGTGTTGCTGTCCTCGATAGTTGAGTTGATGATGAAGGACTCTAGTTTGCCCACCAGAGATTCCAATGTCCTTGGTAGAGTTTCTGGTCGTAGTGCTGGTTAGAATGGGTACTTCAGATGTACCAGCGGTTGTCAGAGAGGGATTGTCCTTTCCAACTCGTGTCTTTAGTGAAATCATGTTTGTGCTCATCTGGGCGTGGCCACTGACTGAGAACAAATCAATATGGAAAACATTCATCTCATCTAGAATGCTAAAATTACATTGTTATCATCACAAAAGTATGTTGTTTCATTATCCACTTTTGGATGTTGGAGTTTTGGCGGGAAGACTTCCTTTGTTAACAAATGGGTCCTTTCTCCCAATACTTCATGGCAAGGAAGAGAAAGTCTTTGCAAGGAATTTACGACCGGTCATAAAACTGGCCCCCATGAAAGGGGGTGTTCAAATCTTTGCCTAGCAGGAATCTTTGATCCTCAGCCCATGAGGGCAAGTCATGACATGTGTCTTCATCTGTTAGATGTGGTCCAGTAATCTACCTAAACGGAGCAGACTGGACAGTCTGCGAGTGAAAAGTTTGCTCTCCATCTTAACACCACTGATATGAGAGATATACAGTGGGGAGAACAAGTATTTGATACACTGCCGATTTTACAGGTTTTCCTACTTACAAAGCATGTAGTGGTCTGTAATTTTTATCATAGGTACACTACAACTGTGAGAGACGGAATCTAAAACAAAAATCCAGAAAATCACATTGTAAGATTTTTAAGTAATTAATTTGCATTTTATTGCATGACATAAGTATTTGATACATCAGAAAAGCAGAACTTTAATATTTGGTACAGAAACCTTTGTTTGCAATTACAGAGATCATATGTTTCCTGTAAGTCTTGACCAGGTTTGCACACACTGCAGCAGGGATTTTGGCCCACTCCTCCATACAGACCTTCTCCAGATCCTTCAGGTTTCGGGGCTGTCGCTGGGCAATACGGACTTTCAGCTCCCTCCAAAGATTTTCTATTGGGTTCAGGTCTGGAGACTGGCTAGGCCACTCCAGGACCTTGAGATGCTTCTTACGGAGCCACTCCTTAGTTATAATAATAATAATATGCCATTTAGCAGACGCTTTTATCCAAAGCGACTTACAGTCATGCGTACATAAATCTTTTGTGTATGGGTGGTCCCGGGGATTGAACCCACTATCTTGGCATTACAAGCGCTGTCCTCTACCAGCTGAGCTACAGAGGACCACCCAGTTGCCCTGGCTGTGTGTTTCGGGTCGTTGTCATGCTGGAAGACCCAGCCACGATCCATCTTCAATGCTCTTACTGAGGGAAGGAGGTTGTTGGCCAAGATCTTGCGATACATGGCCCCATCCATCCTCCCCTCAATACGGTGCAGTCGTCCTGTCCCCTTTGCAGAAAAGCATCCCCAAAGAATGATGTTTCCACCTCCATGCTTCACGGTTGGGATGGTGTTCTTGGGGTTGTACTCATCCTTCTTCTTACTCCAAACACGGCAAGTGGAGTTTAAACCAAAAAGCTATATTTTTGTCTCATCAGAGCACATGACCTTCTCCCATTCCTCCTCTGGATCATCCAGATGGTCATTGGCAAACTTCAGATGGGCCTGGACATGCGCTGGCTTGAGCAGGGGGACCTTGCATGCGCTGCAGGATTTTAATCCATGACGGCATAGTGTGTACTAATGGTTTTCTTTGAGACTGTGGTCCCAGCTCTCTTCAGGTCATTGACCAGGTCCTGCCGTGTAGTTCTGGGCTGATCCCTCACCTTCCTCATGATCATTGATGCCCCACGAGGTGAGATCTTGCATGGAGCCCCAGACCGAGGGTGATTGACCGTTATCTTGAACTTCTTCCATTTTCTAATAATTGCGCCAACATTTGTTGCCTTCTCACCAAGCTGCTTGCCTATTGTCCTGTAGCCATCGCAGCCTTGTGCAGGTCTACAATTTTATCCCTGATGTCCTTACACAGCTCTCTGGTCTTGGCCATTGTGGAGAGGTTGGAGTCTGTTTGAGTGTGTGGACAGGTGTCTTTTATACAGGTAACGAGTTCAAACAGGTGCAGTTAATAAAGGTAATGAGTGGAGAACAGGACGGCTTCTTAAAGAAAAACTAACAGGTCTGTGAGAGCCGGAATTCTTACTGGTTGGTAGGTGATCAAATACTTATGTCATGCAATAAAATGCTAATTAATTACTTAAAAATCATACAATGTGATTTTCTGGATTTTTGTTTTAGATTCCGTCTCTCACAGTTGAAGTGTACCTATGACAAAAATTACAGACCTCTACATGCTTTGTAAGTAGGAAAACCTGCAAAAACGGCAGTGTATCAAATACTTGTTCTCCCCACTGTAGCTCTAAACCACACATATTCTAACCTCGCTCCCGTTATGGGAGGGAACCTACTGAGTAAAGTATTTGTCATCGTTACATTTTAGCGAATCAAACGACTGCAAGGCTTGGCTCAGGAACTTGTGGTGTGCTAGCAAAAGCATTCCCCCTGGTCTCAAAGATAGAAAAAATGATATGCCCTACCTCCCAGCTAGCTAATTAGCAAAGGATATACAGTTGAAGTCAGAAGTTTACATACACTTACGTTGGAGTCATTAAAACTCGTTTTTCAACCACTCAACAAATTTCTTGTTAATAAACTATAGTTTTGATAAGTCGGTTAGGACATCTACTTTGTGCATGACACAAGTAATTTTTCCAATAATTGTTTACAGACAGATTATTTCACTTATAATTCACTGTATCACAATTCCAGTGGGTCAGAAGTTTACATACACTAAGTTGACTGGGCCTTTAAACAGCTTGGAAAATTCCAGAAAATGATGTTATGTCTTTAGAAGCTTCTGATAGGCTAATTGACATCATTTGAGTCAATTGGAGGTGTACCTGTGGCGAAATAAATGAGCCAAGACCTCAGAAAAAAAATGGTAGACCTCCACAAGTCTGGTTCATCCTTGGGAGCAATTTCCAAACGCCTGAAGGTACCACGTTCATCTGTACAAACAATAGTACAAAGTATAAACACCATGGGACCACGCAGCCGTCATACCGCCGTCTCCTAGAGATGAACGTACGTTGGTGCGAAAAGTGCAAATCAATCCCAGAACAACAGCAAAGGACCTTGTGAAGATGCTGGAGGAAATAGGTACAAAAGTATCTATATCCACAGTAAAATGAGTCCTATATTGACATCACCTGAAAGCCTGCTCTGCAAGGAAGAAGCCACTGCTCCAAAACCGCCATAAAATGCCAGACTACGGTTTGCAACTGCACATGGGGATAAAGATCGTACTTTTTGGAGAAATGTCCTCTGGTCTGATGAAACAAAAATATAACTGTTTGGCCATAATGACCATCGTTATGTTTGGAGGAAAAAGGGGGGGCTTGTAAGCCGAAGAACACCATCCCAACCGTGAAGCACGGGGGTAGCAGCATCATGCTGTGGGGGTGCTTTGCTGCAGGAGGGACTAGTGCACTTCACAAAATAGATGGCATCATGAGGAAGGAAAATTATGTGGATATATTGAAACAACATCTCAAGACATCAGTCAGGAAGTTGAAGCTTGGTCGCAAATGGGTCTTCCAAATGGACAATGACCCCAAGCATACTTCCAAAGTTGTGGCAAAATGGCTTAAGGACAACAAAGTCAAGGTATTGGAGTGGCCATCACAAAGCCCTGACCTTAATCCTATAGAACATTTGTGGGCAGAACTGAAAAAGCGTGTGCGAGCAAGGAGGCCTACAAACCTGACTCTGTTACACCAGCTCTGTCAGGAGGAATGGGCCAAAATTCACCCAACTTATTGTGGGAAGCTTGTGGAAGGCTACCCGAAACGTTTGACCCAAGTTAAACAATTTAAAGGCAATGCTACCAAATACTAATTGAGTGTATGTAAACTTCTGACCCACTGGAAATGTGATGAAAGAAATAAAAGCTGAAATAAATCATTCTCTCTACTATTATTCTGACATTTCACATTCTTAAAATAAAGTGGTGATCCTAACTGACCTAAGACAGGGAATTATGACTCTGATTAAATGTCAGGAATTGTGAAAAACTGAGTTTAAATGTATTTGGCTAAGGTGTATGTAAACTTCTGACTTCAACTGTAACTAGCTAGCTATGGCTTCACTGAGAAGAAGAAAGACTACACCCTTAAAATCTGTGGTCGATGTGTGTCGCGCTTGTGGGGAAAACTATCCCAATAAGAGTTACAAACACAATATCTTTATTGCCAAGGCGTCGGACTGATATGACAGACGTGCACAAGACACGTGAGGGAAGGTGTTGTGGGAGATGATTGGTTGGTAGATTAAGCCAATTAAACCAATGCCTATCGTGGCAGCAGTTTCACACGTCTTTCTTATTGGTTAACGAAGGCCAAGTCTGACGCATTGGTCCACCAGATTCTCCTCGCAATTGGGGCGGAAGTGAGTCTGGGAACGAGATTACAGATCTTTTTTTTTTTTTTTTTTTTACCTTTATTTAACCAGGTAAGCCAGTTGAGAACAGGTTCTCATTTACAACTGCGACCTGGCCAAGATAAAGCAAAGCAGTGCGATAAAAACAACAACACAGAGTTACATATGGGGTAAAACAAAACATAAAGTCAAAAATACAACAGAAAATATATATACAATGTGTGCAAATGTAGCAAGTTATGGAGGTAAGGCAATAAATAGGCCATAGTGCAAAATAATTACAATTAGTATTATCACTGGAATGATAGATGTGCAAGAGATGATGTGCAAATAGAGATACTGGGGTGCAAATGAGCAAAATAAATAACAATATGGGGATGAGGTAGTTGGAAGGGCTAATTTCAGATGGGCTGTGTACAGGTGCAGTGATCGGTAAGGTGCTCTGACAACTGATGCTTAAAGTTAGTGAGGGAGATAAGTGTCTCCAGCTTCAGAGATTTTTGCAGTTCGTTCCAGTCATTGGCAGCAGAGAACTGGAAGGAATGGCGGCCAAAGGAGGTGTTGGCTTTGGGGATGACCAGTGAGATATACCTGCTGGAGCGCATACTACGTGTGGGTGTTGCTATGGTGACCAATGAGCTAAGATAAGGCGGGGATTTGCCTAGCAGTGATTTATAGATGGCCTGGAGCCAGTGGGTTTGGCGACGAATATGTAGTGAGGACCAGCCAACAAGAGCGTACAGGTCACAGTGGTGGGTAGTATATGGGGCTTTGGTAGCTCAATTGGTAGAACATGGCGCTTGTAACGCCAGGGTAGTGGGTTCGATCCCCAGGACCACCCATACGTAAAAATGTATGCACACATTACTGTAAGTCACTTTGGATAAATGGCATATTATTATTATTATTATTGGTGACAAAACGGATGGCACTGTGATAGACTACATCCAACTTGCTGAGTAGAGTGTTGGAGGCTATTTTGTAAATGACAAGGATCGGATAGCCAGTTTTACGAGGGCATGTTTGGCAGCATGAGTGAAGGAGGCTTTGTTGCGAAATAGGAAGCCGATTCTAGATTTAACTTTGGATTGGAGATGCTTAATGTGAGTCTGGAAGGAGAGTTTACAGTCTAACCAGACACCTAGGTATTTGTAGTTGTCCACATACTCTAGGTCAGACCCGTCGAGAGTAGTGATTCTAGTCGGGTGGGCGGGTGCCAGCAGCGTTTGATTGAAGAGCATGCATTACGGAAGGAGTGTTGTATGGCATTGAAGCTCGTTTGGAGGTTTGTTAACAGTGTCCAATGAAGGGCCAGATGTATACAAAATGGTGTCGTCTACGTAGAGGTGGATCTGAGAGTCACCAGCAGCAAGAGCGACATCATTGATATACACGGAGAAAAGTGTCGGCCCAAGAATTGAACCCTGTGGCACCCCCATAGAGACTGCCATAGGTCCAGACAACAGGCCCTCCGATTTGACACACTGAACTCTATCTGAGAAGTTGTTGGTGAACCAGGCGAGGCAGTCATTTGAGAAACCAAGGCTATTTAGTCTGCCAATAAGAATGCGGTGGTTGACAGAGTCGAAAGCCTTGGCCAGGTCGATGAAGACGGCTGCACAGTACTGTCTATTATCAATCGCGGTTATAATATCGTTTAGGACCTTGAGCGTGGCTGAAGTGCACCCATGACCAGCTCGGAAACCGGATTGCATAGCGGAGAAGGTACGGTGGTATTCGAAATGGTCGGTGATCTGTTTGTTAACTTGGCTTTCAAATACTTTCGAAAGGCAGGGCAGGATGGATATAGGTCTGTAGCAGTTTGGATCTAGAGTGTCACCCCCTTTGAAGAGGGGGATGACCACGGCAGCTTTCCAATCTCTGGGGATCTCAGACGTTATGAAAGAGAGGTTGAACAGACTAGTAATAGGGGTTGCGACAATTTCGGCGGCTAGTTTTAGAAAGAAAGGGTCCAGATTGTCTAGCCCAGCTGATTTGTAGGGGTCCAGATTTTGCAGCGCTTTCAAAACATCAGCTGTCTGAATTTGTGTGAAGGAGAAGCGGGTGGGGCATGGGCAAGTTGCAGCAGAGGGTGCAGAGTTGGTGTCCGGGGTAGTGGTAGCCAGATGGAAAGCATGGCCAGCTGTAGCAAAATGCTTGTTGAAATTCTCGATTATTGTAGATTTATCGGTGGTGATAGTGTTTCCTAGCCTCAGTGCAGTGGGCAGCTGGGAGGAAGTGCTGTTATTCTCCATGGACTTTACAGTGTCCCAAAACTTTTTGGAGTTAGTGCTACAGGATGCAAATTTCTGTTTGAAAAAGTTAGCCTTTGCTTTCCTGACTGCTTGTGTATATTGGTTCCTAACTTCCCTGAAAAGTTGCATATCGCGGGGGCTATTTGATGCTAATGCTGTACGCCACAGGATGTTTTTGTGCTGGTCAAGGGCAGTCAAGTCTGAGGAGAACCAGGGGCTATATCGGTTCTTAGTTCTGTATTTTTTGAATGGGGCATGTTTATTTAAGATTGAGAGGAAATTACTTTTAAGGAACAACCAGGCATCCTCTACGGACGGAATTAGATCTATCTCCATCCAGGATACCTGGGCCAGGTCAATTAGGAAGGCCTGCTCACTAAAGTGTTTTAGGGAGCGTTTGACAGTGATGAGGGGTGGTCGTTTGACCGCGGACCCGTTACGGACGCAGGCAATAAGGCAGTGATCGCTGAGATCCTGGTTGATACAGCTGAGGTGTATTTAGAGGGTATGTTAGTCAGGTTGACATCTATGATGGTACCCATGTTTACGGATTTAGGGTTGTACCTGGTAGGTTCGTTGATAATTTGCGTGAGGTTGAGGGCATCTAGCTTGGATTGTAGGATGGCTGGGGTATTAAGCATATCCCAATTTAGGTCACCAAGCAGTACAAACTCTGAGGATAAATGGGGGGCAATCAATTCACATATGGTGTCCAGGGCACAGCTGGGGGCTGAAGGGGGTCTGTAGCAAGCGGCAACAGTGAGAAACTTATTTCTGGAAAGGTGGATTTTTAGAAGTAGAAGCTCAAACTGTTTGGGCACAGACCTGGATAGTATGATAGAGCTCTGCAGGCTATCTCTACAGTAGATTGCAACTCCACCCCCTTTGGCAGTTCTATCTAGACGGAAAATGTTATAGTTGGGGATGGAAATTTCAGAATTTTTGGTGGCCTTCCTGAGCCAGGATTCAGACACTGCTAGAACATCAGGGTTGGCAGAGTGTGCTAATGCAGTGAATAACTCAAACTTAGGAAGTAGACTTCTGATATTTATGTGCAAGAAACCAAGACTTTTGCGATTACAGAAGTCAGCAAATGATAGCGCCTGGGGAGTAGGAGTGATACTGAGGGCTGCAGGGCCTGGGTTAGCCTCTACATCACCAGAGGAACAGAGGAGGACTAGAATAAGGATACGGCTAAAGGCTTTAAGAACTGGTCTTCTAGTGCGTTGGGTACATAGAATAAAGGGGGCAGATTTCCGGGTGTTATAGAAAAGATTCAGGGCATTATGTACAGACAAGGATCTGGAAGGATATGAGTAAAGTGGAGGTAAACCTAAGCGTTGGGTAACAATGAAAGAGATAGCATCGCTGGAGGCATCAATTGAGTCGGTCTCCGCGTGTATAGGGGGAGGGACAAAGGAGCTAACTAAGGCAGGTTTAGCTAGGCTGGGGGGTCTACAGTGAAATAGTACAATTAGAAATAACCGAAACAACAATAAACTAACCATGTTTGGGCTGAGGCTAAACATAAACAGGATGTAGTACCGTAAAAAGGAACAGTCCAGCAGACATCAGCTGTATAGCTGAGTTATCATAAGGTCCGGTGGTAAAGCACTAGTGAGTAAGAGGCCACGGCTAGCGTGTGCTAGCGGGCCGGGGGTAGCAGATGGAATCTTCGTGGTTAACGTCGTAACCACATCAGACGATTTCGTCGGCAGACCAGTCGTGTAGGATCGGCGGGGCTCCGTGTCAACACTAGGTGGTCCCGTCCGGTTGACAGAGAGGTAGATAGCCGGGAGATGGGCCTAGCTCAGGATGATTAGCCAGACCACAGCGTCCGTTTTGTTGTAGCTAGCTGGTAGCGATGAATCCGGAGTTAAAGGTCCAGTGATTCAGTGATTCCGGCGGAAAAACTGATATGTTCTGGGTCGATAACGCGCTGTGCAGACTGGCCGAATATCCGGTGATTAATGTCCAGTGATTAAAATTAATCCCGCAGAAAAAAAATCCAATGTTCTGGGTGAAATACCGATAGCTGTGGCTAATAGCAAGTAGCTAGTTAGCTGGCTAGCTAGTTTCAACTGGAGATTCTAGATTCTAGATAAAGGTAAGTCAATAATAGAATCCGTTCCACATTGAGTGAGGCGGGTTGCAGGAAAGTATATTTTGTAGAAGGATGAAAAGTCTGATAGGGAAATATGTACGAAAAATACAGAAAAATAGGGTATTTACAGGCTATTTACAGACATGCGACAAAAACAGAACTGCACTACTACGCCATCTTGGAATAAAATGTCTGCTAAGATTACGTTTTGTACAACCTCATATACATACGGTATGAGTAAATCATATTTTTCTTTGGGTTTCGGATAGATGTTAAAACAAGCTGATAGTGTGATTTTTAAAAATCTGGTCAGACAAAATACTGAGACCGCAGTATTAAGACATTTTTGTCCTAATGTGAATGAGTATGATAGTAATCATACATCAACATAAAGAATCAGCCTTATCCTCTTCAAAAAGTCCTTCTTAAAACCCTGGCCACCCATTCTCAATCAAACCATCAACACACTGATGGAAACCAAAATGGTTCCAAAAGCGCTGGTGATCTAATCAACAAGAGGACCACAATGGAAATACATTTTAAAATGTTTTTGTGTTATCCTCAAGGATTTTTAAATGCATTGCATGTGTGTTACTTTGATTTTTTTGTCAAATAAAAACATGTTCCCACAGTTTCCAAAGCCACTAATTACGGTAGACTCTGTGACACGCAGGAGGCTGAGTGTGAACCGTTTATCTCCACGGCCCATCAGACAGTTCTGTGAACATCTCACCTCAGCCAGACAATAACATTACCTAGAAGCTGTCCCCAGTATTAGGAGGAGGAGGAAGAGGGGGGGATGACAGAGACTCTCTTTCTCTCTCTCTCTCTCTCTGTAGGATGGGGGCTAGAGGTCTATGTCGCAGTGCTCTAGTCATATCAATCGTGATATGTTAATGTTGTTGGGAAATGTGCCAGTTTTTTTAATGCATGTAGCATTTGACTTATGTGCATTTGACTTCTGTTTGGTTATGTTGAGGATATGTAGATCTGTGTTGCTGTAACAGAAACCACTACATGGTATTGCGAATTTTCAAATGTGACTTCTCTGGGGTTGTCTATGGGAATTGTCTTGTTGGGCTAGACTTCAGCTAAACTGCAATACTGGAGCTAGCCTGTAGGTGCAGAGGAAAGCGTGCTTCCAGACCGGAACCCTGGAGCCTTGCACTCTACACTTTCTATTACACACTCACTGGCTACTCCTAGTTTTCACACTGGACTGTGAATCCAAACCAAAACTGAAACAGTAGCGTATACAAATAATTGTGACATTTAAAATAGCAGACTTTTCTTTTCCAGTCCAGCACACCTGTCTCAAATAATCAACTAATCATAATTGTCCAATAAGATCTCAATCAAGTTGAAACCAATTAAAAGCTGGGCTGGAACAAAAGCCTGCACACCAGGGCTGCAGTTGCTCACCCTTGACTCTGTACTCATGGTCCTCCTGGGCTGGGCTGTGGGTTCGGGATGAGAGCCGGCAGACACTCACAGACAGAACAAGTCAATGTGGGGAGGGGAAAGGGAAGGAAAGGAAAGAGTCAAAGAAAGAAACCGGAGAGGATAGGCAAAGTCTTTGAATGCCGCAGAATTCCTCTCCTCCTCCCTGCGTGCGTCCTCTGGGAAGCGATTGGAGCCTGTGGTGAGAGCAAGGTAAGACAGGGCCTGTCAGGAACAAAGCTCCAAATTCACATGATATGTTTAGCTAAAAGGGTGAAAGAGAAAATGAATCAAAGCTTTGGCAGGATCAAAGGCAACAGAACAATAAAGTCAAGGCAATTGCCATGGGACCAGCAGGAGATGCATTTCATTTATAAGTTGTTCTCTGGCTCCACGTCTGATGTGGGGGGAATGTATTGCTATTTTGTGGAGGAGTGTACAGTGGGAAGCTTGGGTGGGGGGTGGGGTTTAAAAATAGTATGGGGTTAAGAGCAGGGGTCAGCGTTTGCGAGAGAGAGCTACTGCCTTGTCTGTTCTAAACAGCAGCATTCTGTTATCTGTGCCTGAGGGCCACACACTTCCCTTAGAACTGAGACAACAAAAACAGATTCACAGTGCACTTCGTAGCCAACATAAATATCTAATCAACACAAACCACATAGGCTAAGTTGTGTCTATTTGTTTTGTGGTATAAAGTGACACAGGGTTACGGATGTTCTCGTGAACTGTTTGAAAATGAAATCACATCCTGCCAGATGTAGTAAATTAATGCTGTTCATAGATGTAACTGTAGATTTGAAAAGCAGAATATTGCTGCCTATTGTTGTAGTTCTCTGCATACACAGTCAAATTTACCATCGTTGATAGAGATCAGATGATACTCATTGTCATGGGAACAGTGGCGTCATGACAACTTGTGTTTAGTGTAATAGTTCCCCAGGTGTCAACCACATCCCAGACCACAGGTTCCTCTCAACCGACAAGACGGAGCTCGAGTTACAGTACACGTCAAAAAAACTTTCTACAGCAAGTATAAAAACAAGTAATATCTGTTGCTGTGATTTCCCTCCATTATTGGGGGAGGACTTTTATTTTCGGCTAAATATCCAGAAAAAAAGACTAATGATACAGTGCCTTCAGAAAGTATTCATACCCCCTTTTCTGACCAATCTACACACAATACCCCATAATGACAAAGTGCAAATCCATTTTAGTCCCACTTTGTAACACAACAAAATGTGGAAAAAGTCAAGGGGTGTGAATACTTTCTGAAGGCACTGTAAGTCAAAACACACCGAACACACACACGTACACACTCCTCTCCACCACAGCACGCACGCTTGTTTGATTGACAGTCACAGTGAACATGTCGCAGTGTATTGTCTGGTGGTATGTCTTGTGTGTGTGTGTGAGTGAGTGGAGATGAGACCAAGTCTGTCTGCTTTTAGCTGAGTTTGCCCCCGTGAGAGATCCCAAAATAACAAGGGCCCTCAGTGGGTTGGATGAAAGCCCTGTCACCAACTATTTCAGCACGGAAACAGACGGAAATTTCCCTCCCCTACTGTAGCTCTGACTAACTGACATCACACTCATCTTGTAAGATAGGAAAGAGAGGACATCTCTAGTTGTCTGTTTGACTATGATGAGGTTTTCCAAATACAATGTTAGATAATGCGATAATATCAAAATGAACACTCAATTCTCTCCATTTCATCTATTCTATTTTTCATATATTCCATCCTACATGGGTAGTGAGTGAGTGAGTAAGTGAATTGAGAAGGGCTATGAGAGGTTTACACAAATTAAGTTGTGATGCTGTACATGGAACATAATTATTCACAAAAAATTGTCACTAATTAGAAATCTTTCTTGGCATATTTCAGACATTTTGTCTTATTAGTTATTATGGTACACCATGTAATTGTTGTGTAAAGATGATGCATCTTCTTTGGTGACAGACAGGATCCAGCCAGGTTGTGAAAATGGTCCTCTGTCCTCTCAAACCTGCCGATATACAGTATGTTCATGATCACACAGTCCACACATACAGTTCTTTCCACTTTGAAATTCCCTCATTATTCCTCCTCTGTCCAACCTGAGAGATACACAAACAAGACTCCATTTTCTTCTATCTTTTAAACAAATCAATGAAACTCTTCCCAAATTGAACAATTGCGCAAATCAAATGTTAGTTGAGGAGCTAGTTATCATCTGACTTATTCTCATTGTTGGCTGAAGTAGTGGTCTGATCAGTAATTATTTAAGTGCCTTTTTGTTCCATTTTAAAGAATGATTAGACAATGAACAAATTGATTGTCTCAAAGCACATATGAATAGCAGCGATACTGCACTTAACAAATTATCACACATTTATTTGAATTGCTTGTTTTTTTGTCAATTCTAAAAGATAGCACAATATAGTATGACATAATATAACTCTAGACTTTCTTTTAGAATAGCAATTTCTTAATTGGACAACAATAAAACAAAATGTGGGTACACAGACAATCTCAAAATGTATATTGTTAACTCAACAAATAAATACTTGTGTAAGAACTCCTGTAGTTCCTTTTAAGGTTAAAAGTTTTTGCATAGAGTAAAATAGCACTATATTGGTAAAGACACACTGTATATTGGTGTACTCAGTCTCCTGAGTGGCGCAGTGGTCTAAGGCACTGCATCGCAGTGCTAACTGTGCCACTAGAGATCCTGGTTCGTATCCAGGCTCTGTCGCAGCCGGCCGCGACCGGGAGACTCATGGGCGGCGCACAATTGGCCCAGCGTCGTCCAGGGTAGGGGAGGGAATGGCCGGCAGGGATGTAGCTCAGTTGATAGAGCATGGCGTTTGCAACGCCAGGGTTGTGGGTTCGATTCCCACGGGGGGCAAGTATAAAAAAATATGTATTCACTAACTGTAAGTCGCTCTGGATAAGAGCGTCTGCTAAATGACTAAAATGTAATGTAAATGTAGCTTCACTTTAACTCTAAAATATCCACGTTGCTGTTTTCTTGGCCAACATTGCCCTCGTGTGGGTAAAATAAGGAGTGCACTAAATGCCTCTACTCACCAACAAAACAGGTCCTTTGGGATCCCATACTTGGTATGGTTATACTGTAGGTAATTATTTAAGTACATATCAAGTAAATATCAGAAAATAAAGTGTAAAGTGTCATAAAAGTCCACACAGAAGTAAGCCCATATAGGCTGTGCTACTTTACATAAACTACTGTATTGTAATGAATAATGTGATACATTTAAATACCAATATAAAAATAAATTGTCAATAATCTAATTAGTCTCTATGTTGGGGTGTGTTTTTGGTGGCTGCCAAAAAAGGGGTTAGCAGCTGACATGTAGTGCTTGTGCCCCATGTTGTTCATAAACTCATTCAGCTTATCCCTGCATATCAACATATGGAAGTGGTTGCAAATATCCGGCTATCTACGAGAAGCAAATGGTTTTAAATCAGTCATTTTAATATCAAAGCACTTGACACGAGTATCGTAATGACTTGCAGGTGGGATATCCATGCTGTTTGTCAAATCTGCATTTGAACAATTGACTGCACATGTATCCCACACATACAGTACAGTGAGTGCTCAACAAGCAAGATCACATTACAGAAGATTGCTCTGGAGTTTTCGGCCATTTTCGTAAATTGCTTTGGCCTTTGATCTCTGCTAAATCTGATTGACTTGAATGGTTTTCATTACAAAGTCCTGTGTACTGATGCTGGTAAACTAACGCCAAGACATTGAAGGGTGAGTGAGTCCAGCTGGGATAGTGGAGGAGTATGATTACAGGATCTTTTGATACTTAATTTGCTCAAGGGGTGCCTTACTACTATGGCTGACCCTGTAAAACAACACATTTCACTGCACTTATCTGGTGATTGTGACAGCGTTCACAAATGGTCCTTGAGGTGCTTAAAGTACTTGAATTTGGCACTCTGAAATTCAAGTACTTGAATACCTTGAAAATCAGACATTTTCTTAACATTTTACATTTTAGTAGATGCTCTTATCCAGAGCAACTTACAGTTAGTGAATGCATACATGTATTTTTTTTTCTTTTTTTTTTTCATACTGGCCCCCAGTGGGAAACGAACACACATCCCTGCCGGCAAAACCCTCCCCTACCTTGGACGACGCTGGACCAATTGTGCGCCGCCCATGGGTCTCCCGGTCGCGACAGAGCCTGGACTCGAACCAGGATCTCTAGTGGCACAGCTAGCACTGCGATGCAGTGCCTTAGACCACTGCGCCACAAGTACTTGAAAAGTACTTCATTTAAAATGAGAGGAGAACAGAAAATGATCAGATATGTTAATATGAAAAACCTTATAACCTTTTATTGGTCTTGCGAATGAATTTCCAGGCAGATTACCAAGTTTTATTTCCTCACGTGTTTCGCACTCTGGTTGCCAGGCGAGCTCGCTCATTCCACCCACACTGCCACTCATCCAGGTAGGTACAGACCTGACTGATTAGGCGCCGCCAAACGTCACATCGATAGCTAAATTGCAGAGCAAATGTAGATTCAAGCCTGCCTGGCAGGATATTGATGTTTATGAATGGGGTTTCCCAGAACCAACCAGGGATGTGGTGGAGGGTAAACCCTGTTTACGCACCTTTTTATTTGTGAAATAGCGTTTACTCACCTTATTATTTTGTTAATGATCGTTTACCCACTTTTTGCGTTCCCAGCATTGATCAACGCTCAGAAGGCTTATTGATCTGAGTTCTAATCGCACCTACCTCTGCGAACGAGTAGAATCATGTATGCTCGTTATGTTCGCCTGCTCCCCTGGATTTGCCTTGTTAGCAGCACATTCATTCACCACTCTGCCCACGACATAGGCCGAGAGGTGAAACGAACTACATCAGCCCAGACCTACGGTGGCAAGTAGCACAGAGACGCCGCTGACAGTGGGAAGTCTTTTAACGTCCCTCGACTCCTACCGTGCCAACAGACATCCCCTAAACAGCTGACTGAAATTAAGCTAGCTATAATCAAAAGATGGGTCTCTTAAATTCTCATAACAAACATTTTTATGTATAGAGAGTAGTGAGACAGACGGTGGTGAGTCAGGCTGCAATGAAGGAGGCAAAGGAGATACACAGAGAGAGGAAGCATTGAAGCAAGCAGGGAGAGAGGTTAGTAGTACAATGGTTCCCAAACTTGGGGTCCAGGACCCATGTGGGGTCCCCTAAAATGTAAATAGGGTCACCTGAGAGAATCTTTAATCTTATCAAACACATTAATAAGTTGTTTCTCTTCAAATGGGTATAGAATACAACATTTTAGAGTCAACTAAGGGCCTTTTACACTGGCAGAATTCACTTTGTCATTATGTGTTGGGACAGCCTGTGGGACCAAAAATGTAGTGACATTTTTAGACAATTTAAATATAAAGACAATTTAATATATAAACAAAAATATAAACACAACATGCAACAATTTCTAAGATTTTACTGAGTTACAGTTCATATAAGGAAATCAGTCAACATCATCAGTACTGACTTACCACTCATGTATGCAGTAAATA